GAATGTAACTTTACAGAAAGACAATGACAATTCCACTTTCTGATTTGCTAAAATTCCAACTCTGGACATTTTTTGGGCCCTGAAAATATTGTACGGACATACTCTATCCTACCTCTGGGATACCCTTCCTAAACCATTCGGCAGGGAATGCTACTATGCAACTCAGTTCTATTGAACCTTTGTCTGTTTTATCTTTCACAATTCAGAATAGAGAGATCTTGTACAAACGTAAAATGTTGTGAAAGGTGAACCAAAACAAAATATTGTCAGTAGCAGAAAAGAAGACATCTACCTCACCACCAACAGCAAGTAGAGAACCCTCATTGTTAAATGTTAGTGCTAATTGCTGACCAATGTCTTCCAACTGTTTAAGAACTCTCTTGGATGATTTTAGGGTTAATGCACTATCATCTGATTTTTTTATTGCATCCCACTCAAACCATCTGCAAGAGGGAAACCAAAAATTAAGTGAATGATGTCAACATCCACAAAAACATAGATTCAGTTTGGAAGTTCAAAGGTTGAAAGAGTTAAACAGCACAAAATCTATCAGTGTAAGACTTTATATGATAAAAAGACAACAAAACAACAAAATCAACTTATTTCCCACAAATGGGGTCTTGGGAGGGTAGGATGTACAATGCACGCACACCTTACCTCTACTGTAAAGGATGGAGGGGCTATAAAGACCGAATACTTCCAATTGTAATGTGTTACTTCGTATGTCTGAAATAAACCCATCTCTTCTCTTTTATTCCCCTTATTTCCTAACTTTGATTTCTTTTGTTCTGCTAATGACAAGGTGGTAGCTATTTTCCACCCACAAAGCCTTTCATACACCGATTTCAAAATGATAAAATAACACATAAAGAAAATCCTACCACTCAATTTATTACTTGTCTAATGCAGTGATACTCTCAATACCTGCAATCTTTATGAAGTTTACCTGCACCTTTCTGGAAAAGAACAAATGAGGCCTTCTCCTCCAGGATGTGCAGCCATCCTATAAGGCAGATCTGTACCAGTTCCAAGCCTTGCCACCTAAAAGGAAATCCAGTTCATATATTTAATAAGTATCAAAGTTCATCCTCAAGGGCAAAGTATATGAGTTATTGAGTTTGTACTAAAAAATACCTTTCCAAGTCCATTAGTCAAATGCAAAATTGAGTGTTAAGGATTTAAACATTTACCAATATCCTATTTAGTACCCTTTATTTACCATTTTGTGTCAGCTTATTTATCATCATTCCACAATGACAATTTTCTGAATTTCTAGTTTAGCACTTTAGCTAAATACTCTGATGGTCAAACTGGCTTGTTAATACCTACACGGACATCTTTGCTACTTCATTTCCTTTCCATCCCACTCGATATTTTTTTCTTATTAGTTTGTATCATATTATCATATGCACATGTATATATAGATACATATATTTGTGGATGTGAATCAGTACAGGACCTGACAGACCTGTGTATTCAGAACAATCATAGGAAGAAGAAAACAGTACTACAATAGTAGAGCATAAAGAATATTGACAAGCGCAAAGAAATAAACCACTCACCGGTTGATCGGATAAAAGGTAGGAATTGATGTCTACTTGAACAAGAAGAATAGCATTTGGGATGCCGCTACGCCCTTCACCACCCCCTCCGGCCAAGGCAACATAGTTGTGGGCAGGGAGCAAAGACACGTCATCAACAGTATCCTTACTGCCACCATCTCCCTCTGGCATCTGTTTGGAAGCAGATCTTATTGCACAATGTGGGACCCATGCAACCCCGTAGATTGGTACAACATACTTCTTCTGTCTTTCATCATCAGCCATGCCAGTTTGAGATGTTGATCTTTTTGTCTTTTATACAGTAATTCAGTTTGGTTTGCAAACTTCTCCGCTAAAAGTGACTGAATCAACATTAATAAACATAAATGTATGCTCTCCATTAAAGAGGCAGCCATGTTGATTGATTGCTAAAGTATATGTCGAAGTTTTAGTTGAAATTTTGGTAATTGCACCTCATGCTTATCTCAAGATTTGACTTTGCATTGCAAGTTTCTTCTACCCCGCACAAATATGCGATTCAACACTCATGTTTACCTCTAACATTTGACTTCTAGTGGGATTATTTTCATTGAATTTGCACAGATTTGAGATCCACTACCCTCTCTACTGCCAATGCTAGACTTTACACACCGCATGGGTAAGTAAAAAAAAGGTTTTTTTCTGGGGGGGGGGTGCAAAATCATGTATTGTCACAAGCATTGGTGCCGCCACAACAAACCCAGTATAATCCGAACCCTGTGTGATAAGCACTGGCGTACCGAATTTCTTTATTTTTTTACGGAGTATTTATAATTTGGGGTATTTTTTGTTTCGTGTTGTTGGTCCAATAACATGTGGGGTGGGAGTTATGCACTCGTGCAGAGAATTTATTTACTTGCATCAAAACTAACTACAGCAATAATAATAGCTATTCTGTGGTTTACAATAACATATTAGACAAACTTTGGTTTTTTTAAAATCTATTTCCACCAAAAGAACGGAGGTGATAAAACGGATTGGGTGCTCACTCTATAAATTAGACTAAAATGTTCACTTTTTCCCAACAGCAATCCAACGTATCTGCAATAAAATTCATTTTGCTTAAGCAATAACTGAAAAACAAATTGAAAAAATGCATATTTATCGACGTATCATATAATGTTAAAATCTAAACACAGACATGCATCATCTTATTGTATATGCTCCTAACACTATTAAAAACTGAAAAAGAAAAAACAGATTCAAATATAACAATATACATCTGGTTCAAATAAATCAGTCTGCTTCAAATAAATCTAACGAGATAAATATTCATCTTAATCAATAAAACATGGTGTCATGGTCCGTGCAATGGCGTTTCACACACATCTTCGAAAATATAGGGCTAATAGAAGATCTTTAGAACAGTGTCTAAGATTGGAAAATAGATCTAAAACGTGATAAAAACATCTAAAATTTGTGTTTCGCAAGTGTTTAAGTGAACCAAGACTCTGTTTTGCAAATGGGTGGGAGTAGAAGCAGGGATGATTGAATGAAATACCTGGATTGATCCCTGACAAACGAACAGTGAGTTGTCTGAATAGGATGGATGCCAGACGAAAAGGGAAGGGAAGATCGGTGCGATTGATGTTGTTATCGCAAGATACGGGTGCGGATCCTAGGCCAAACCGCCAAATACCTGCTCTGCTTTCCGTTTTAAGATTTGGGAACCCTCTGATTTTTAACTCTTAAACCATTTCAATCTGGGCACTTATGGAGTAAAATTTATAGTTTGATTAGTTTCTACCATTATCATAAAATTTGCTGTTATAGCGAATTCGTTTTAATTTTAATTTCAAAGTCAAAATTAACTTGAGATGCAATTTAAAAGGTGGGACCGTAGGAGTGTGTTCGGATCAAGGCAGAGTTTTAGTGAGGGTTTAGAATGAATAGGAACCATTAATTGTATGAAAGAGACACCGGAGCACCCGGGTCAATGACATTAATTCCCAATACATATATATAAAAACGATGATCAATCAATTAACTTTCAAAGAAGTTTTGCACATAATCCATTCTGTCTTTCTTGAAAATTCAAGTTGTGAATGTATAATAAAGTCATCTATTTTCCTGGGATGGGAATGAACTAATTTGTAGGACCTTGACTTAGAAATTGAATTTGGAAATTCAAAAAAAAAAAAAAAAAGAAGAGGAAGAA